ATAGATCATATCTTGGGTCACAAGTCAAGCCTTGGTAAATTTAAGAAAATTGAAATCATATCAAGTATCTTTTCCGACAACAACGCTATGAGACTAGATATCAATTACAGGAAAAGATCTGTAAAAAATACAAACACATGGAGGCTAAACAATACACTACATAATAACGAAGTGATCACTGAAGAAATCAAAGAGGAAATAAAAAAATACGTAGAAACAAATGACAATGGAGACACGATGACCCAAAATCTATGGGATGCAGCAAAAGCAGTTCTAAGAGGGAAGTTTATAGCAATACAATCCTACCTTAAGAAACAGGAAACATCTCGAATAAACATCCTAACCTTGCACCTAAAGCAATTAGAGAAAGAAGAACCAAAAAAAACCCCAAAGTTAGCAGAAGGAAAGAAATCATAAAAATCAGATCAGAACTAAATGAAAAAGAAATGAAGGAAACAATAGCAAAGATCAGTAAAACTAAAAGCTGGTTCTTTGAGAAGATAAACAAAATTGATAAACCATTAGCCAGACTCATCAAGAAAAAAAGGGAGAAGACTCAAATCAATAGAATTAGAAATGAAAAAGGAGAAGTAACAACTGACACTGCAGAAATACAAAAGATCATGAGCGATTACTACAAGCAACTCTATGCCAATAAAATGGACAACCTGGAAGAAATGGACAAATTCTTAGAAAAGCACAACCTGCCAAGACTGAATCAGGAAGAAATAGAAAATATGAACAGACCAATCACAAGCACTGAAATTGAAACGGTGATTAAAAATCTTCCAACAAACAAAAGCCCAGGACCAGATGGCTTCACAGGCGAATTCTATCAAACATTTAGAGAAGAGCTAACACCTATCCTTCTCAAACTCTTCCAAAATATAGCAGAGGGAGGAACACTCCCAAACTCATTTTACAAGGCCACCATCACCCTGATACCAAAACCAGACAAGGATGTCACAAAGAAAGAAAACTACAGGCCAATATCACTGATAAACATAGATGCAAAAATCCTCAACAAAATACTAGCAAACAGAATCCAACAGCACATTAAACGGATCACACACCATGATCAAATGGGGTTTATTCCAGGAATGCAAGGATTCTTCAATATACACAAATCAATCAATGTGATACACCATATTAACAAATTGAAGGAGAAAAACCATATGATCATCTCAATAGATGCAGAGGAAGCTTTTGACAAAATTCAACACCCATTTATGATAAAAACCCTGCAGAAAGTAGGCATAGAAGGAACTTTTCTCAACATTATAAAGGCCAGTATGACAAACCCACAGCCAACATCGTCCTCAATGGTGAAAAACTGAAAGCATTTCCACTAAGATCAGGAACAAGACAAGGTTGCCCACTCTCACCACTCATATTCAACAAAGTTTTGGAAGTTTTAGCCACAGCAATTAGAGAAGAAAAGGAAATAAAAGGAATCAAAATCGGAAAAGAAGAAGTAAAGCTGTCACTGTTTGCAGATGACATGATACTCTACATAGAGAATCCTAAAGATGCTAGCAGAAAACTTCTAGAGCTAATCAATGAATTTGGTAAAGTAGCAGGATACAAAATTAATGCACAGAAATCTCTCGCATTCCTATACACTAATGGTGAAAAATCTGAAAGTGAAATCAAGAAAACACTCCCATTTACCACTGCAACAAAAAGAATAAAATATCTCAGAATAAACCTACCTAAGGAGACAAAAGACCTGTATGCAGAAAATTATAAAACACTGATGAAAGAAATTAAAGATGAGACAAATAGATGGAGAGATATACCATGTTCTTGGATTGGAAGAATCAACATTGTGAAAATGACTCTACTACCCAAAGCAATCTACAGATTCAGTGCAATCCCTATCAAACTACCACTGGCATTTTTCACAGAACTAGAACAAAAAATTTCACAATTTGTATGGAAACACAAAAGACCCTGAATAGCCAAAGCAATCTTGAGAACGAAAAACGGAGCTGGAGGAATCAGGCTCCCTGACTTCAGACTATACTACAAAGCTACAGTAATTAAGACAGTATGGTACTGGCACAAAACAGAAAGATAGATTAATGGAACAGGATAGAAATCCCAGAGATAAACCCACACACATATGGTCACCTTATCTTGGATAAAGGAGGCAGGAATGTACAGTGGAGAAAGGACAGCCTCTTCAATAAATGGTGTTGGGAAAACTGGACAGGTACATGTAAAAGTATGAGATTAGATCACTCCCTAACACCATACACAAAAATAAGCTCAAAATGGATTAAAGACCTAAATGTAAGGCCAGAAACTATCAAACTCTTAGAGGAAAACATAGGCAGGACTCTCTATGAGATAAATCACAGCAAGATCCTTTTTGACCCACCTCCTAGAGAAATGGGAATAAAACCAAAAATAAACAAATGGGACCTAATGAAACTTCAAAGCTTTTGCACAGCAAAGGAAACCATAAACAAGACCAAAAGACAACCCTCAGAATGGGAGAAAATATTTGCAAATGAAGCCACTGACAAAGGATTAATCTCCAAAATTTATAAGCAGTTCATGCAGCTTAATAACAAAAAAACAAACAACCCAATCCAAAATTGGGCAGAAGACCTAAATAGACGTTTCTCCAATTAGATATACAGACTGCCAACAAACACATGAAAGAATGCTCAACATCACTAATCATTAGAGAAATGCAAATCAAAACTACAATGAAATATCATCTCACACCAGTTAGAATGGCCATCATCAAAAAATCTAGAAACAATAAATGCTGGAGAGGGTGTGGAGAAAAGGGAACCCTCTTGCACTGTTGGTGGGAATGTAAATTGATACAGCCACTGTGAAGAACAGTATGGAGGTTCATTAAAAAACTACAAATAGAACTACCATATGACCCAGCAATCCCACTACTGGGCATATACCCTGAGAAAACCATAATTCAAAAAGAGTCATGTACCAAAATGTTCATTGCAGCTCTATTTACAATAACCCGGAGATGGAAACAACCTAAGTGCCCATCATCGGATGAATGGATAAAGAAGATGTGGCACATATATACAATGGAATATTACTCAGCCATAAAAAGAAACAAAATTGAGCTATTTGTAATGAGGTGGATAGACCCAGAGTCTGTCATACAGAGTGAAGTAAGTCAGAAAGAGAGAGACAAATACCGTATACTAACACATATATATAGAATTTAAGAAAAAAAAAACTGTCATGAAGAACCTAGGGGTAAGACAGGAATAAAGACACAGACCTACTAGAGAATGGACTTGAGGATATGGGGAGGGGCAAGGGTAAGCTGTGACAAAGCGAGAGAGAGGCATGGACGTATATACACTACCAAACGTAAGGTAGCTAGCTAGTGGGAAGCAGCCGCATAGCACAGGGAGATCAGCTCGGTGCTTTGTGACCGCCTGGAGGGGTGGGATAGGGAGGGTGGGAGGGAGGGAGACGCAAGAGGGAAGAGATATGGGAACATATGTATATATATAACTGATTCATTTTGTTGTAAAGCAGAAACTAATACACCATTGTAAAGCAATTATACTCCAATAAAGATGTTAAAAAATAAAAACTATACTCATCAATAAGAATTTTAAAAAAGCTAGCAGGCACTCTCATTTTATGTGATATTTATAAATTTTATGAGATATTTATCAAATTTATCAATTTAGGTATTTGCTTGGGATACAAACAAAACATACAGCAATTAGGAAACGGGCAAAATTAGTCTCTCCACCTCATGGTGTGAATTTCCTACTACTCGGTTCACAGTAAGTCACCCTGCTTAGCTTGACCACCGTAGGCAGATTTCTCTCACTGTGGACTCTTACTGAAGAATTTACGAAAGCTCACAGTATTTGGGTGGAGAGGTTGTTGAGGTGTGGGTGAAAACTTGGACTCCAATCAGATTTTTACCACTTAACCAGCTGCATGCCCTTGGGAAAGTTACTTAACATACCTGAGTCAACTCCCATAATATGGGGATAATAACACACCTTGTGGTGATGTGAGGGTTAACAAGATAATGCATGTGAATTGCCAAACTCTTAAAGAGAGTAAAACAAAGAAGCTATTGTCTAGGGCTCTGGCTTAAATAAACCGAAGCACAAAAAAGCACATGTCCTTGTTCAGGCAGGCATTATCAACTGTACTACAATTCTCCAGAACACGAGATTTCTCTTGTCCTTCCTGGAAGTTGCAGACTTGAGAGCCACAAGACATGTCACTTCATGATTCTGTACAGTCAGGCATTAAGAACAACCACCAAGTGAATTTCTTGGTACATATGTAGTATGTAAACTTAACATAATGAATTTTTTTATGTAACTATTTTGACCTAGGAAAAAAAGATCCTATTTTTAGCATATGCCAAGAATTCATTTTCATTACTCAAGATACCTTCCCTTTCAATTTGTGGCATCTGGTCCCAGGCAGGAAATCTTCCTAGTTTTACAGTTCTAGCCTCCCTGGTTACATAACAGCCTCCCTTAATAAAGACAGGCTTTGACTGTTAACATCCTCCTTTCTTTCCCACATCAGGAACAATATTTTTTTTCTTTTTAAAAAATTTTTGCATTACCATCGATTAGCAAAGTAGTATTACTGTATTTCTCATTTCAGAATTTACTTTTCCTTTCCAACTAAACTGAAAAAGTCGTATTACTTCCAGTTATAGGGGGGAAAAGTTAAGTGACTTGATTGAGAATTAGAGAATTCAAAATTATTGGTGAACAGTGGTCTGCAGTTTGACTTAAACTTATCTGTAGTCTTTTTATATGTTTTTTAAAATACACTCAATCTGTAGAGGTTACCGAACTTTACAGTACATTTTAAGGAATCTCAAGGGAAAACAAACATGATTATAAAGGCCCTCTCTCAAAGAAACTCAGCAAGGAAATTTCAAAACTCAGTTTTTCATCTTGCTTTAATGACTTCATTTACGACTTTTGTGAAGAATGTGAACACATTAGAAATAGCAGCCATTTATTTTAAGTATCAGTTTTTATTAAAAAGTGCATTTTGATTATTTTATGATCTAGGTAAGCTGTTAATAAGGTATCAGTATACTCTCTGGAATAATAACTTTACAAAGATTTAAAACAAACAAAATTTTAAAAGCCTTTTTATTTCCTTCACCATTATTGTTTTACAATACAAATATTACCTTGTGAATACACAAAAAAAACCCTACGGAAGATAATTCTGCTGCACATAAAATACAGAATGGATATATATACTTCTTCATTCTTAAAAAACTATTTTGTTCTCCACATTGGCAAGTATAGAATAGAATACTTCCCCAAACATACTCATGTTAGGAGTAAAACTTAAGAGTTACATGCAGTTCCTGCACAAATATATTTTAAAGAAATAGATCTCTTCTTTGTTGTTTACCAACAAAATTGCCATGAGAGTATGGATAACTAATTTATAGCTTTCAATTTTTAGTTAAGTGATCATTTTCAAAACTCTCTTTTTAAAAACAAAGTATTCATGGCTGTTTTCATTGTATAGTTAAAATCAAACTACCAAATAGATGATAAAATAATTGAAGTGGTACCTGTCATTGCCACCTGCTCACAATATGGGAACAGGCTCTGACTTTCTAATTAACTCTCCCATTCTTTAATTCATAGCAATTTAAAAACCATAAGCAGTCTTCTGATTTAATTTAGCTATAATGCAAAATTTAGTAGTAATACATACATTTATATTTTCATGGAATACTTTATTTTAAATAAAAACATTGAAGATTGCCTACTGACCATACAATCAAGACAAGAAAGGCACTAGAAACATAGACAAATTTCTCTCCCAAGAAACATTTTTAAATCTTAACTCTCTTTTCTCTGACATGTAAAAATCTTTAAATTTGGTTTTCATAACATCATTTTGAAAAATAAAGTTAGGAAATACTTAGAAAATCACTTTATAACAGAATCTTTTTTTTTTTTTGTACTTTTTGACACACTGTCTCTGATTTTTACAAAATCCAAAGTTACCAAACCTTTCTGTGTCTGTCATTTTTATTTGAATATCGGTGCAACAGGTAGAAAGATTTCAGAATCGAACCCCATTCAGGTACTTAGAAACCTTCATAGAGACGTTTGCTAGAAAATGGCTTACAGCCCAATCTTTGGGGCAAGAGATATGAAAAGTATGTTTTCCCAAGAAAATAATACGCTTTATTTCCAGGTGTGACTGGAAAGACCAGAACTTATGATATAAAAGCTTACATTTATGCTGTTGCATCATATACAAAGGAACACGGTGGTTGCAAGGTTATGTGAATCCCAAGCCTATGAACAGGAAATGTGTACAGTGCACGACAGGTTAAATTTTCTTTATTGTTGTCCAACGCGGGTCCTTTGGAGAGAAAAAAAAGATCACAGTGCTGACCAGGTAACTCAATCGGTTAAGTCACGGTAACTGTTGAAAGATAACAGGATAAGGGAGGTGTTCATTTTATGGCATCTTTTCTCATGGAGTTCTTAGCACTTCGGACAGCTCCTCTTTCCCCACCGTGTACAGCTGTTATGTGTCACTCACCAACCGGCTGTATTTAACTTGCCTACCGAGGTGGATTACTGGCCAGGGGAAGGGCCAATGGTAAGATCGAGGTACAATTCCTTGGACATTCCTTTCAAAGTACTGAAATGGCCTGTACCACCACACTCTGGCCAGGAGGTTCATCTGGGAAGCTTCTTTTAGCACCTAAGAGAACACAGAAAGAGAAAACCAAGTCAGGAAGAACAACTGATGGTTCCAGCCCCAAAAGGAACATACACATGTTTCTCATAACCTTTCACTTTAGGTTCAAATAGTTTCCATATTAAAATTCACAAAGGCCCCCAGACCCGCCCCATGACCACCTACATAGCCACAGTTTCACACTCCCACCACCGTTCTACACTCTGCACTCAGCTGTAAACCGGGCCACACCCTAGCAGAAAAACAAGTAACTCCAATTCCAGGAGTACACGGGGAACATGCGGCTTACTCACTCTCTTGTCTATAAAGAAATACCTCAATTAGTGTTTTAGCTACTCTTCTACGATGAAAACAGAGAGAGTTAATTAAATGTTAAGTATTAAGCTGCTGAGAATAGGGGTTAAAATCAAATGGGGAGAGAAACTCACTTGCTGATTGGCCATAGTGTGGTACCACCAGAAGAGTCTTGTGGTGATGTAATATGCCACCACCACATCCACAGTGTAGTGGTCATGCGCCAAGAGAATACAGAAGATTCCAACCACGCTGAGAAGCCAGCAGATCCAGTGGTACCACCACAGTCGTCGAGGGGAATCTGAAAAGGAGAAACTTGCAATAGTCCCGTTATTCAAGTGCCACTAAGGGCACCCGACCATGCCTCAACTACTACTTCTGAATCCAATTACCTTGGATCTTCCCTTCTGAAAACAGATCTTTTGGGGTAGCAAACCTAAGGGCTTTCGCTTCTCTGCAATGGAGGTTAGAAGGGAAGCAGCTTATTTCATAAAGTGATTTTCTTAGCCATAGTAATTTATATATGGTTATTACTTGATTCATGTAATTATAAGTGTAGCTTAAAAGGACAAATAAGGACAGGTTAATGCATCATGCTCCATTAAAATACAAAACAACACCGCCCACTGACAATTAAATTTACCAGGAAATAATTTGGGATTAATGCTCTATACAAAAATCAGTACCTTTTGATCCTTTGAGTAGGCAATTATAATTGATACAACTGCCCTATTTGCTTTCCAAGCTCTGCAACCATACACTAATTTGAAAGTCTTTGAGATTTCCATTTCTCAAATACAAATAAGAGAGGATCCAAATGCCTGGGAATTCAAGCCCAAGTACGTTCCCAAGGGCAGGGCAGTGTCTGGGAAGTCACCTGATGGGAGATTCAAAATCTCTATTCGTGCAGGCCTTCCTACCTTGTATTCTCAGTGAGTGGGCTTCAGAGGGTCTGAAATTTTAGGCAATAATGTTGTCTGAGTGTGATCTACCCTTCTCACCCTGGGGAAGACAGTTTAGGCTTTTACAGAATTTTCAAGGGGTCCAAGTATCCATCATTCATTCAACCACTATTTATTGAGCATCTACGATGTGCCCAGGACAGGAACTGCTCTAGTCACTGGAATCAATGAACAAAATAGGCAAAGAGCCTGCCTTTGTGGGGAGATCCCTTCCTAGTACTGAAGAGAAACAATAAATAATAATTATAATAAAGTAAATTATACATTATGTTAGAAGGTGTTAAAGCCTATGGAAAAGTAAAAAATTGAACCAAATCAGTAGGATCAGCAGTAGAGAGGGTGAAGGGAGGTTTGTCAGTTTAAATGGAGTGGTCATGGTTGGGGGTAGGGTCTTAAGAGTATGTACGGGGCTCCATGTTCCATTTCCAGGAAAATCTGTACTTGGTACTCTAACAATACAACAACAAAGACCGGCTACCGTTCATTCTCCCTGCACCACTACTAGTGTCCCTATATGCCATCTATTTTAATTTTCACAACCTCTCCCTCATTCATGAAGGAGCTATCAGTATCTCATTCTAAAGATGAGGAAACTGTGACTTACAGAGGTTAGAGGTTTTCCCCAAGGTCACAGAGCTAGTAAGTGATAGCAACAGGATTCAAAATCAGTTTGTGACCCAAGTCTTCCAATATGGCATCTCCAAGGATAAGGCTTAACCCCATTAAAGTATTGCAGGTACCAACCAGCAGGCGGTTAGGAATCCCGCCCCCCAGGGCCGCTGACATCAGGCCTGTTCTGTTCCCATTTTCCATGCCCAGTTACATTTCTCATGGAAGGCTGCTTTTGACTTACACTCTTTGATAAATAGGTAGGTGAGTGTGAGCATGACCGTGTGGCCGCTGTACAGGTAGTCCCCACACATGTTGTGGGAGCCCGTGATGGACAGGCCGCCACCAGCAATGAGCTTCATTATTCTCCTCAGTTGGGCTTCCCAGTCTCCGAAGAGCTGGTGGGAAAAGAAAAAATCAGACTATTAGCCCACATAAAAGTCTGCTACGGCTATAATTTATATTCAGAATTAAGCTTTGTAATATTGTGATTTATAATGAGAAATATATATTTGGCCTTCATCCCTGTTCCTGGCACAGAGCTTCTACAACCTTTGGAATTTCCCGAGAAGAGATAGAGGTGTCTTTGGTTATTCATAAAAGCCCCTTTCAACCACACCTAGGTTCATGTTCATGAGTTCAAGGTGACTTCTGGAAAGCCCCTAAGGATGGGGGTGGTTGCCAGGAGATCCAACCAGGTGACTAAAGGGTTGGAACCTCTTTCCCACTTCCTGCCACTTCCAAGGAGGGGAGAAGGGCTGGGGGTTGAGTGAATTACCAATGGCCAATGATTTAATCAATCATGCCTCTATAATGAAGCCTCCACAGAAATCCAAAAGGACAGGGGTTTGGAGAGCTTCCAGGTTGGTGGACGTGAGGAGATGTGGGGAGAGTGATGCACGCCCCTTCCCACATACCTTGCCCTACACATCTCTTCCATGTGGCTGGTCCTACGTTACATCCTTTTATAATAAACTGCTAATCTAGTAAGTAAAATGTTTTCCTGAGTTCTGTGAGCTCCAGCAAATTAACTGAACCCAAGGAGGGGGGTCATAGGAACTTCCAATTTAAAGCTGGTTGGTAAGAAGTATAGGTGACAATCTGAACCTGTGATCAGAGTCTGAAGTGGTTGGGGGCTGACAGTCAGTGTGAGATTGAGCCCTTACCCTGTGGGATCCGATGCTATTTCCAGGTAGACAGTGCCAGAATGGAGTTAAAGAGGGTTAGAGATTTGCTTGTGTGTGTGCGTGTGTGGGGAAACCCATATATCTAGTCACAGAAGTATTCAGTGGGGTTTTCAGAGTACAGGAGATGCACAGGAGTGTTTTTCCTTTATGAGTTTATATTAAGACATGTAAAGTCACCGCCCCCCGCCCCCCGCCATGAAGTGTGCCCACTCAACATTCACTGCTGTTCAGACAGCCCTTGGAAGAGTGTGGTCCTAGAGATGAAGCATGCAGCTTCAGAGCTCCCCTTACATGTTGGCACTTTTTAGAGCTCATGTCAGCAGATATTTAGTTACTAAAGTTTTTTTTCACTACACTGTTAAAGACTGACTGATTGATTTACTACCATAACTGCCATCTGGGGGAAAATCTCTGGGAAAAATTTAAAGATCTATTTCACACGCTTGGCCTAGAGGACAAATGTTCTACTAACTTACTAGCTAAAGCAGCTGGAGGTTAGAAAGTCAAATATATGAATTTTTTTTTTGGTATGTGATTATGGGGGACCAAATTGAAGCAAGGGACTGAGTAGGATGTACCTTCAATCTTCTGAAATTATGTGGGTAGAACTGCATGTTTTTCCTTTTAATAAGAGTGAAAAAGTTTATAAATAAATCTACCTGTCTCTGATACAAGTCTGGGCTGGATACTAGAGTGGTAAATGGCATGAACAAGTCATTCACCGAAACTTTTGTTTGCTCTGGCAAATAAAATGTGTGACTGTCTATATTTTATGTTTGTTAGCATTCTTTTAAATTTTGGTTAGCCAATTTAATCACCATGACCCCTTTTCAACATTTAACTGATAATATTCTGGGCTCTGGGAAACATGTTTCATTATAATTTCCCTTTAAAAAAACTGATCAAGATTTCTAGTTAAGGACGTCAGGTTGAACATACCACATAGCAGATATGGATTTCCAAATTGAAAGGGATCACTGAAAGTCCAGTTCAACAGAAGCAAACAGATCTACATAGCAAGACTCAGCATTATGGAACTTCAGAAACTTGGGGCTAACAAGGGACCTTCAAGCATCCAGAGATCAAAAACAAGCTTCACACAAAAGATCAAGAATCAGGCTTCTTCAAAAGCAATACTGGAAAAGAAAAGGCTTCAGAAAAATGCCTCCAAATTCTGAGGGAAAATGATTTCCAATTTAGAATTCTATACGCAGCCATATTATTAACTGAGCCTAATCTTAAAAAATAGACCAAGGATAAACTAAAGTCATTTCATATATACAAGATTTCACAATATTTACCACCTATGTATTCTTTTTGCGGGAAATTACAGAAGATGTACTCTACAAGGCAAAGGAGAAAACAGAAAAAAGAAGAAACGGGATTTGCTAGGATGCCAGCGAAGGGAATACTGAGAGCTGTGCTGTAGGCCTAAGAGAGGGAGCCCCCTAAATGGGTGAGTCAGAGCTCTGGAGATGAGGCTAACAGAACACCTAATTCCGCGGCTGCACTGAGTCAGAACATGGGAACGAGTAAGTACACAGAAAACTAACAGAGCAAAAAAGCAAGGCAATTACGGACTCTACAGGAAATGAAATATTGTGTTGAAAAGTAATTATAGGAAACTATATGACTTGGCTATGAATAGCATCTACAAAACTGTAAGAATGTAAGCTCTGAATACTGAGTTAAATCAAGGACAGAAAATGACACTGGGAAGATGGGATAAGAAGCCTCAACTACTGTACTGGGATGGTGGGGGAGGGGAAGAAGGGAAGGAAAAGGCACAGAACACATACAAGCTGCAGGGGAGGACTGTGTGGGGAATACGAGGGCTCTAAATCCTGGCCTTCCCCAGCAGGAAGTCAGCAACAGCCTGTATTGGAAATTATAAAGAAACAATATTGCTATGGCACTTAGAGACCTGAGGATAAACACATACACACACAAAAATTCTGTAAAAAGAGTTAAAGAAATGAAGGTAAACACCACGAGACTCAGTTGAAAGAGCTAAAGAGAGTAGGAAAGCAGGCTGAGTGTGATTAGGGTAAGGGTTGCGTACCATGGTTTTCATAATAAGTCCTGTAGGATCATTTTGTTTCTTAAATTGCACGCATGTATAAACATGATAAAATTTTTTTGAGAGTTTTAAATTGAAAGTTTGGTCTGGTTCTGTCATAACAACGGGTAATAAATGGAAGAAAATTATGGCAAAAAAGCTTAGGTAGTTCTTCAGTTTACATTATTTCAAATTGTCCTTTCGAAACTCCCTCTGTGTTTTGAAAACTATACATCATATTCTTGAGCACCATTCCTCCTCAATTTGCCCTCTCATTTTGGTAGGAAAATATTTGTGGAGAAACTGTAGGGGTAGGAAAAGAGGGAGAGATTATGAGGTAAACATGGCATTGAGGAAAAACAGCCCAAAATTAATGCTCCATTTCTTACAAGTGCCCTTAACACATCTATGCTTTCTTTTAAAAATATCTTTCCATGATTGTCAAACCTCTGCAAGGGGGAAGGCTCTTTAAAAGCTCAGTGGGGAACAGGAAAAGAAGATGGATGGTTACAGCTACATAAAATTTTTAAATTACACTCTAAGAAAGTAAACAAACTCTAAGGCAAATGACAACACAACTGGAGCAGAAACAACTTAACATCTTTACCGTGTACACAGTACACATAAATCAAGTAAATAAGACCATTTAGGAAACAAAATTTATCAAAGGACAAAGGATGTGACCAGCTGGAGGCACTGGCTCTGTCAAGCAAATAGAAATAAAAATGAACGTTAACAGGAGCTCATTCTTTCCCATATCAAATTAGCAAAGCTAAAAAAAGATAGCCAATGGTGGGGCAGGGACAACGTCACTGATCCTCTCAAACAGGCTCCTTAAAGAGGAGGGAAGGAACGTGGTAAATGCAGCAGCCAGCAGTGCAGGAAGAGGCAGTGGCCTCTGAAACAGACAGGCTGGGTTAAAAGCATGGCTCTCCTACCAATTAGCTGTGTGACCCTGGGCAGCCGAACCACTCTAAGCCTCAATTTCCTCATCACCAACCTGGGGAGTAATATATTTATTACAACTGGCAAAATCCTCTGCAAAAATAATCATCAATATTGACCACAATCCAAACAGCCATGACCTGTGTGTGACTCAGTGCTTAGTTGTTTCTAGGCACCCACCTCCAAGAAGTGAGCCCGCACATGAAGAAAACCTTTACGCACAATATTATTTATAAAAGCAACAAACTAGAAACAACCCAAATGGGAATTGTTAAATAACTGTTCCCTTGCCATTCAGAACCTGGGCCAGGGGAGCAATGGCAACACCAGGGGTTGCCTGTCATTACAGGCATACCTCGGAGATATTTCAGGGTCGCTTCCAGACCACAGCAATAAAGCGAATATTCCAATTAAGCGAGTTTCACGAATTTTTTGGTTTCCCAGTGCATAAAAAGTTATGGATATTGTAGTCTATTAAGCGTACAATAGCATTATGTCTAAAAAACCAATGTACGTGCCTTAATTAAAAAAATACTTTATTGCTAAAAATGCTAACCATCATCTGAGCCTTCAGCAAGTGGCAGTAGTAACATCAAAGATCACTGGTCACAGATCACATAACAAATACAAAGTTTGAAAAACTGCAAGAATTACCAAAATGTGACACACACATGAAGTGAGCAAATGATGCTGGAAAAATGGTGGTGACAGACTTGTTCCACCCAGAATCGCCACAAACTTTCAGGTTCTAAAAACTGCGATAACTATAAAGTGTAATAAAGCAATGCTCAATAAAATAACGTGTGCCTGTACCCCCTCAGGACCTACTGAGCCAGAATCAGAGGTGATTCAAATGCACACTATAGTGATTCAAATGCACTGAACTAGGCCATAATTGTTTAATACATTATTTAAAAATAAGCATACAATGACTTTGTAGTAAGTTATATCATAAATATTTTCTTCTACCAAGAGGAAAAAAATGAAACAAAATGTTTGGTATAATTATAACTGTTTAAAAAAACATGCACTGGAAAAATCTAGGATGTACACACTGCATGTTAGCATGGTTTGCATGGAAACCGGTAGGAGTTCCCTGCTTGTTGGGCTAGAAAGGAGGGGATTCCTGTGGAGTTCTGCAGTTCTGAGATTTAGGTTACCTCTGAGTACAGGCAGGAGACACGGGAAGAAAACAGAAGAAGAGGAG